CCCCCCCCCCCCCCCTCTCCCCCCTCCCCCAATCTCGTCCACAAACACCGAGCTAGTGGCAGCCGTCACCCGAAAGTCCTGGTGTATCACATAAACCCGCACGAGGTGCCTCCAAGTTCACTTGCGCGTGAGGCATACGTCAACCAACGCTCGACGAAAACCACCACGTCTTCCCTACCCACCCGACTACGACGGAGGAGGATGGACGTGGCAATAATAACTACACGAGAGCTGCGAAACCGCATCTAGGCCCTCTGCCTCTCCGCCTTGAGCGCTCTGAACCTGTCGAGCCAGGGGTCGATGTCGAAAACGTTGGCCGCGCGCAGCTTCTTCTGTAGGAAGGAAGCAGGGAGCGCGCCGATGACCAGCTCGCGCAGCCAGATCCCCGCCGGGTTTGTCAGCTGCCCCAGCTTCATCTGCTTGCGGGACTCGCCCTGCACGCGCCTCGTGTGGGCCAGGCGCGCTCTCTGGAAACACGCGCGAACAAGAAGTGCAAAAAAAACAAATCTTTGTTATTGCAAAGTCCTAACCGGGGAACAAATACCTGGTACACTCGACCGAGGTTGCTCAGAGTTACGGTCAAAGGGAAAAAAAAACAGTTCGTATATGTCCATCGGGTCGCTTCTGATTCGAATTTGAGTAATGCCGCAGTGTTGGTCTCAGCAAATACTCGGAGCAAGCACAGCGTTGGAGGTGGCCAACTCGGGGCGGACAACGGCCGAGATGAAACCGTAAAAAGTCACGGCTGCTGCGGCTCACCTCATACAGGTAAAATGCCTCCACATGACCGTCGGGCCTCTCCCAGTGCTCTGCGAGCAAGGTCGCCAGCACCAAGGCGTCCTCGATGGCCATGCAGGCCCCCTGCCCGTTGTTGGGGGTCGCCGGGTGGCAGGCGTCGCCAAGGAGGGTGATGTTGCCACAGCTCCACCTGCAAGCCCAAAGAGCAGGCGGCAACGACAGAGTGAGTAACAAGACCTCAGATTTAGTCGCAAAACTTGCGCAGCCCAAAATACAAAATACTGATCATTATTGATGAACATCGTTGGCAGTAGATGTCAAGGGCTTGCCGCAGCGCCGACGAAAATTACGGGACGATTCCCGCCAACAAGAAAACAGCGCGGGAACTGCAGCATCTGGACAGATCCCTTGCCTTGATCTTGCCGCTCAAGATGCACAACCAATCGGACCCAATCTTCTTCCCAGACCAAATGTTCTCCAAGTTCTCTGTCCAATAGCGCGGTCCTTGCGGGGCACATTCAAGCGGACTCAAAAGGACGACAGACCAATCCTTAAAGCGAGAAAGACTGCCGCGCCTTGTCAGTTCATGTGTGAGGTCCGGTCGCACGGCAGACGATATCCCAATGCCATGTGAGAGGTGTCTAGAGACAAAGTTGCGGGCAGAACAGGGGAATCTCGAACAAATGCGACAAGCGGGAGCGAAAACAATATGTTGGCGGCACGATTGCGGGAATTCCTCCTGCGCTCCACGTGGTGGCTGGCGTCAGATGCTTGCTGAGACAGCAGTACCGCGTAGATATCAAACCCGGGGAAAAACGCAAGCAACTTCGTACCTGTCGATAGGCGGCCTGTCTTGGATCCGATGCACGTACGAGCACTCCTCTCCGGTCATCTCAGCCAACGTCCGGAGGGGCTCCGGCCACCGCTTCGCGAGCAGCCGAGCGTCTCCACGCGCGCCAGCTTTCTCTTCGCCCTCTCCACCCGAACCACTCCGGTCGTGTTTCGTCCCCGTGAGCTGCTTCACGAACCAAAACCCGGTTTCGCCGGTGCCGTCGATGAATCCCCACGAGAACCTGATGCGGTCGCCGTAGACCACGCTCATCGAGCCGGGACGCGCCTCTTCGTGTTCAATGAAGACGGACCTCAGCCCCGCCGCCACCGCGGGGGCCCCGTCTCTCAGGTCCAGGACCCCCCGGTAGCACACCTCGCCCCCGTCGCGGGCCCCCTTCGCGCGCGGGGAGGGGGGGACGCCTGCCGGAACTTCGGAGGCGGCGCGCGAA